AAAACTGTCATGGTAAAATTCAGCCACGCTCACAACCTGCAAAGGATTTCAGGACAAAAGAAACATTTAGCGTCTGTTTGTTTGTTCCTGTTCTGGCTCTGTATTTATTCAGTCCTGTCACTCATCTTTTTTTCTCTCTGCACCTCCCTCTCCCCTGCGGCTTTTTCTCACACACAGGCAGTGTGATGGCGCAGCAGCACACACAGCAATCCGGGTGACCATGTGAAACCAATTATGGAAGCTCTACAGCCACCCAGAAACTCAGTGACGGATGGGGATGCTGTATTTATAGCTAGGGTAACTGGCAACACTCACACACAACAGAAGGAAGTACAAAGACACTTTGGACACACATGAGTTTGTGTTTACACCCAGCGACAGGCCTCTCACACACGCACAAGCAAAAACACAGCCAGCCCCACTAGCCGCATGAGGTGCACAGTCCTGAGCTGCTGTCTCCTCCCTACACTGTACGAATCAAAGTCCTTAGTCATGGGAAGACAGATCCTGCTCGAGGATGGTCAAAGAGCCATGTTTGTGTTTGCCATGGTCTAATCAGAGCTGGTGTTTACAGCCGTATACCCCAGTCAGCATAGTTGTGCATCTCAGCTATCTCTCAGGCTGTCAGCGTGTCAAACCTGCATGTGAAAACATATACAAACACATCTGCCCCTTGTTAGACACCAGAAATGACTGCCATGTGGTCTACTGATAAATAGGCCTCTCTATTTATTGGAACACAACAAATTGGCTACAAACACCGACAAGGAATTGAAGAACTATAAAAAATTATGACATGCTGAAATCTTTAAAGTGCGGCAGGTAGTTAACAAGCCTTCTTCCACCTTGCTTTTTATGTAGTCCATGGTATTTCTTATGACTTTTTTTTCTCTGGCACAGCAGCTTGTTAAAACGATTGGGGCACCCATGCACTGAGCGTGTCCTGTGCAGAGTGTGCTGTGTAAAGCTCTGCAGCATCAATGCTGAGCAGAACAATGAAGAGAGTGCATTTAATTATACCCAAACTCTCGTAGAGACGTAACCAAAAATTCCTGAATGAATCAGCAACAGACAAGCCCTAAAACCCGTGTAATTACATATTTGGAGTTTATCAGGGTTTATGCGAAAATGCACAAGTTTCCCTTCCCTGGTGGTCCCTAAACACATCCATATGTCCAGCATGTTTCCATTTCTGCTCCTCCCTTCTTTCGTCCTTTCCCTCTCTCCCTTTCTCCATGTGTAACTTACGTTCCTCCTCGTTTTCCTTTTGTGAGATGGTTTCTATGTGCAGATGGATGATATGAGCCATTGGAGTGGTGTTTTCTTATTGTTAAGTTGTTGTTGGCTCGTTGACTCACACTGTGACAGATTCAGTTTGGTGTTTTGGACAGCACCGGGCCATGAGCCACTGTGGGCTGGGCTCTTGCTGGAGCTGTGTGCAAACAGAAGAAGCCACAGCCGATGTGCGACGCGAACACAGAACTGGGGAGGCCCGCTATCGTGTGTGGGCCGCTTTTCCCCTCCTGTCTGCCTCTGTAACTCTCCCTCTCCGGCTTCAGAAAACTGATCTGTTTTAAAACACGTGCTAAATATTACCATATTTACATTTTCCTGCTTCATGAAGGGGATTGCGTCTTCTTTTTTTCTCCTCAGTGAAAAGGATTCAGTGCACGGTTAAGCTTTGTTTGAAACCTTGAACCTTTTTCATGCTTATTTGTTTTATGATTCAGCAGGGTACTTTGTTTACAGTAAAAGTGCAACATCTGGATTAGATAATTTGTTGAGAATTAACTAAATCTGGATGGTTATCAGCCTCATCTGATTACATCTGTTTGAAGTTGCTCACTTGGTTCAGTGCTCATTATTTCCCATTTCACTCAGCTGGTCTTAAATTCCTGCGTTCACAGTTGTTTGATTTGTTTTCAGACAAATGGCAGATTAACATTGTGCAGTGCTAACCCACGCTTTAATCACGGGAAGCAGCTGCCGCCCCCGATTCACTGTTAAATCTCTTAAATAATGATGGTCTTTCCATAATAGCTTATCCCCAATTAAACCACATCAAGACTTTCCACTGATGCAAGTGTTGATTCAAGTGGCTGAGATAGAAATAATATGGTTGTGTTTGGCATCAAGAGGAGACATTAACATTCACTCAAGGTTAAGTGCATAAACCATTAGCTCATAAATCTATTTTGGACAGCTACAAAAATTCTTTTTTTATAGAAGGATCTAATTACAGAAATCTGCTGCATTGGTTGACATCACTTGATACATATTTAATTGTGTGTTTTTAATGCAGGAATATTATCTAATTACTTATAGCTGGAGTCTCTAAGTTTGAAATCACAAAAAAGAAAATGTATGTTCCTCTTTCACATCTTTGGATCACCTTTTTCAGACAGAAAGGTGAAGCAGAGAAGACCATCTCACTCAGCTAATTAGTTCTCAGTATGTAAAATGTTTTTAAATAACAGTAAGACAGCATATTTGTGGTCTTTTATTGGGACAAACAAAATGTATTTATGAAACAAAAAGCTAGGTTCTCACAACTTTATATGAAAACAATTACACACCTCATGCATTGTATTGGGTCAGACTTGTTGTGATTTGTTACAACTCCCTGGTCCCTGAATCGAACAAAACCGCTATAGTTCCAGTATTCTGCTCATCCAGAAAGATTAGTACAACTTTGCGTACAACAGATGTGTCTCGCGCTTGATTTGTGTGTGTTTTATTGACTCTGGCCATCTGTTAATACAGTTGCTGGTTCCTCCTCTAGTGTTTGTTGATACACAGACAGGGGAGCTGAGTGCCAGAAGAAACATTCTGCAGTGGGGAGAAAAGAGACAGTGAAAAAATGAAGTTGCAGTTCAGAGGGTAATATTTCATAAAGGGCTGCTGGATTAACTGTTAACCTGCGACCTGTCGTAATTCTGTATATGGAACATAAGTATTTCTTCTTGTTTTAGTGAAGCATGGAGCTCTCCACCAGCATCTGTTGATGAATGGGTCTCAGATGGTCATTGCTTTCACTGAACAGTATACGAGCTTGGATTCTTTCTCGTGGAAGAAAGTGAAAGATAGCTGTAGATATCTGAAATTCCTCATAGAACCATTGCTCAGATTCCTACTCCACACTGAATGCACATAAGGAACAGTTGCCATCAGCATTCCTACACTTGAGCATGTGTGTGTTTGTATGTGTACATATATGCTTGCACATACTGCTCATTTCTAACATTTCTGTCAGTGCAAAGGATAATGGGGCTTAACAGTTGGAGTTACTTGTGTTTGCTTAGACATTCGCAAGGCTCCTTGTCAGCCCTCTTCACCATCTTCTCTCCCAGGGTGTCTGTTTCCCTCTGCACCTGTCTGTAACATTTGTATGAATGTCTTGGACGCCACAGAGCTTATGAAAACTTCTGCTGCACATTAATTATCTGCTGTCCTGCTAACTGCCCAAAGGTGAGATAGTTTGCATCTTAAAGCTTAACCTACTCACTCAAGAGTGGTGCTGGAACAGTGGCTGAGCCTGCGTAGTTAGCACTCTCACAACAAAAAGGTTGCAGGCTGGATCTCTTCTTTGTTGAGGTTGGGTTTCCTCCAGAGACTCCACACACCAAAGTAGGCTGTAGACCAATATCTCAGCTAAAGTATCCTTTATCCTTACAAACCAGGCTTTTCTGTGTGCTCCTACAGTGGCTGTGAGAGAGAGGTCAAGTGCAGGGGATGAATTTCCCAAAGGTGAATGCCTTAACCTTTCTCATTCAAGTCTCATAATATTCTTGTTATGATTTATTTCATAATTCATCTAGTGAAGTATCTTTTGTATTTCAATAAAAAATATTTTAGTTATCTGCTTTCCTCCAGTGTTCCTTTCGGCATGTACGATAATGTGATTTCTTGAGACAGAAGTCACTTGGGCCATTCAAACCTCAGAACTCTATGTGAACCTGCTGAAAGAAGAGTGGACCTGAGCCTGGAATAACAGTGTGAGAGGGGGAGGCAGGGATACAGCCTGTTGGTCCTAAATGTGCAGGAAAAACGGCCAATAACTAAGCCTTCAGGGAGTGAGCCTTGCCAAGCCTAACCTTCACAAGCTCCGGAAGCACACAATGTAGTGTAGACACATTAGAGCAATTTAAATGAAGTAAGACACAATAGTTTCTTAAATTTTAACAACAAATCACAATTTATTGGACTGTCCGTACAAAAAAAAAAAATCAAAAGTTGCTTTACAGTGTATTAAAAGCAATACGGAAAGTTAGTTGCATTTTACTTACAGATCGCTGTCATGGACTGGTGCATGTCCCGATTTGAATTTGAACAACTTGCTTCTGTGCCTCTTGCGTATGAAAGAGAAAGATTGCTCTCTAAGTTAAGCTTAAGGGAATCAATGAAAAAAATACTCTGGCCATGTGTGTATGAAGGCCAAGTTGCACTGGAATCATGTTTAAACCAGAGAAAAGTCAAAAAGCGTAATATGGCTCTTTTAAAACTCAGGCAAATATAAAAATACGAAAACCATGAAACTCATGAGTGCAGGTGTAGCAAGCTGAGAAAGCACCATCCGAGGAGCTGTCTGCACCAGGAGCAGAGGGCGGGGACAATATAGGACCCAGATAAGAGAGGAGGCCGAGGCACCAAACCTCCATCCGGTCCAAGAGCCAGAACCCCAGAGCCACAGCCGACCATCTCTCTGAGTGCAGAGGGCTCCTCCAGAGGAAACACTGCAGTAAAAAGTAAAATATTATCATAATATTCTAGAGTAAAGGAATATACTATAATAAATAATTGAGTATGTCCAAAAGCCAAATAGATAAATTGAATATGTAATATACCGTGAAATAGATAAATAATAAATACTAATCAAAAGATAATCTAATTAGGTATGTAATAAGAACAGTATACAATTCAGAAATTATTACTTACCTGAGGTCCAGATGTATAAAGTTTGTATGGTGCTGTACATAAGCCTGGTCAAGTAAAGACTTTGTTTAAAAAAACTTCTGTTTGAAGATCTTGCTCCGTTTCCCATCCCCTGGGAAGAAGGTTAATGCTTTAATTGGCATTTAATGTCTTAATTGAGCTAAGAACTGTCAGTAGAAGGAGCAGAGTGGTCACACAGGTGATGGTTTGAGAATGAGGGTTACCCTGGGGTGCTTCCTCACCTCCAGAGTAAGAGCCATCCGCCTCTTTGAAGTGGGACACAAAAACTGGAAACACTTTCATCGGCCTGTGTGTCATCACTGCATGGACCCATGTATATGTATGGGGCTGCCTGAAAATATACAAAGTCCAATTTGCTCTGGACAGGCCAACCTCAGCATAATGAATCACATGTGATGTGTATCTGATATTCAGCCTGAGTCATCACCAGATGTTTCAACAGAATTACTTCCAGTTATAGAAGAACACAGCGTGTTCAAAGAGAAACTAAAACAATTCACTCAGAAAAAAGGAAATCAACAAACCATCACGGCCAATATAATACTAACGTTTATAAAGATGTTGTACCAGAATGCTCCTAGCGACACTGGCGGCAGACCAAAGTGGCTCTTGTATAATTGAGGGTGTGCATGCCAAATGTTAGGAGATTTGAGGTCAAGTACAGAAGAGGAAGCAAGTTGGGCGCTCTGATAAAAGCTCACAGGTGTGTCTAAGTACAGTCTTACATATGTATGCAAGCTGTTCGGGCCGTTTGTCCTAATGTCTGTTTGTATGTTGAAAATGCAGCTTCCAGTGCATAATGCATTTGCTGAGTCCAAGCATAGCATGAACTCTGGATAATATTGTCTGTCCTTTTCACTTGGCACAAACGAACACACAAACAAACCTGTGTGAATTTCCTCAGACTCGAGACCTAACACACTATCTGTATGCAGCCTATTAAAGTGCATATTTTCCTGCGTCGTAGTGCTCACATCTTGCATTAGCTCAGGAATTGGTCACGCTCTTTCAGGGATTATATTTTTGGTGAGGTAGAGATTGGAGTGGTGAGAGTGTGTAGCAGAGGACCTCGCCACAGGCTCTGTTGTTATAGGTGAAGACCAACAGCCCCCTGTCGGGCAGCTGTGGCAGAGAGGCCAGCTTTGATCAAAGGCCCGGAGAACGAAAGAGGGGGAGGCCTATACAGCTCCAAACTCGCTCGGAGAACCTTCAACGTTTAAATACACCTGCTTTTCTACACAGCTCAAATAACTTTTATAATTATCATTTTTAATCCCTATTTAGGACATTCCTGGTGTTTCTTTTCTACCTGGCATTTGAATAATGTATTTATTCAACAGGCTTACGGCAGCATATTGATTGTAGACAGATTAAGTTACTTAGAGCATCTGTGGGAACGGAGACGTCTTAACCAAGGGCATGTGTGCTAGAATCTGTGTGGCCTGACAAATACGTGCACGCCAATGCTGTGTCACTGAGGTCATTCTGGCTCCATTCACTTGAAGGAGGAGTCTTTATTTAGTTCATCTGGAAACGCACGGGCAGCTGTATGATTTTTGCAGACTGATTAAATGATTGTCCTAAATTAAACATACAAACAAAAATCGTTTAGAAGAATTAGGTCATATTATTCCATTGTTGAATTTAACATTGTTTTTCAGTCAAACTAAAGTGATGGACACAATTCCTATTGGCTCAAAAATCATTATCATTGATGTCAGAGTATTATCTGATTTCAGGGTGTCCTTGATTTTTCACCGTCATGTGTGTTTTGAAATAGACTACAGGAGTTTGGTCACCACAGAAAAATATTATAATCTGTTACTTAGGTTACAGATTATTGAAATATTGATTTTTAAATTTGTATTTTTACTTATTTATATTTTTTTTAAACAAATAACGTAAAATTGGATTGGTTGTTGTTGGGGCTTTGCAATTTTAGCAATTTACAATTGGCTCCCATTTAAATAGCTATTACAATGTTATCACAATTAATGATACAGACCTCATTGTACCCTGTTTGGTCCCTGTGGTAAATTAAGGGACTGAAGCTTTCATGACATATAGAACATTATACAACAAAATCATTATCATTGATGTCAGAGTATTATCTGATTTCAGGGTGTCCTTGATTTTTCACCGTCATGTGTGTTTTGAAATAGACTACAGGAGTTTGGTCACCACAGAAAAATATTATAATCTGTTACTTAGGTTACAGATTATTGAAATATTGATTTTTAAATTTGTATTTTTACTTATTTATATTTTTTTTAAACAAATAACGTAAAATTGGATTGGTTGTTGTTGGGGCTTTGCAATTTTAGCAATTTACAATTGGCTCCCATTTAAATAGCTATTACAATGTTATCACAATTAATGATACAGACCTCATTGTACCCTGTTTGGTCCCTGTGGTAAATTAAGGGACTGAAGCTTTCATGACATATAGAACATTATACAACACCATGTGTAAAACATGATTTTCTATTGTATCTAAAATAACTTTACCCTCCTGGAAGAAATTTAAATGTGAACATTATGTTTAAAAGTACAACTATTTTGTAATGGTTTTATGACTTTGATGTTTTGAACTAAAGAGAAGCAAACACCTTGTACAATTATGTCACAAACTTGAATGAGTACTTCCCTTGCTTTGACAGTGGCCTATATTTTATCTTGTTGCGCGATGCTAAAAGTGGACTTTCTAGTGGACTTTGGTTGTAATTACATTGACAGGCTGAGGATGAATGTCGGTGTTGGGCGGTCTGCTTCAGTGGAGCTCGTGCGATACGAATGGCATCCCAGTGCGGGCCGTTTGGTGTGGTCCGGGAGCAGGACCCATGCCATGTGCAGTGTCTGTCCTGTGTGACGCATGTGCAACTTGTGAGGCGCGCTGAAAAAGAAAAACAACAATTAGGCATGAATGTGTGTGTCCAAACAAGCCATTCAAAGGGCCGTTGTGTTTGTGGGGATGGTGCTGGCGGGGGATCGTTCTGCCCCGTCTCTCCTGACCCTGCGTTTGAGTCCTGCCGCGTGGAGCTGGGATGCACAGATGGGCCACAGTTCTATTTCCCTCCATTCACCTCAAAAGCTTCAATTCAGCTCTATTGTTTAACCTAGAACACACAAGTGAATTATCAGTCTCCTTACAAACTGAACAGGACTTTGAAAAGACTCCTCCTTTCTCTTGTGAGGTTCTGTGCAACAACAAACAAACAGCAGTGAGCCTCTTCAGTCTAAGTCTGGCCCCGGCCACATACACTGTTGTTATGGTTTTCCTGTAGACACGTGAGGATGTGGTTGCGCCCCATCAAATATAATAACAGGAGCCCACAAGTGATGGGCTTAGGTCATCACGTCTAAAAACAATATGATGAGTGAGGGTTTACCCAAAACGTCTGGAACTTTGAATGAATATGAACTGAAGTGGAAACCAGCCAGGCATATTACATACATCATCCTCATCAAATCTTCTAGACAACTACACAGCAATTTGTAAATCGTTGGTGGGAATGTGGGAATTTGTGCACCCTTTATGAAATACTAAGTTTGTTTTATAGTTAAGTATAGGACACACGCATGGATGTAAAAATGTGAGATTAAAGCCAGCCAGGTTCTCTTTGGAGATTGAACACCTTATTGCCAATACAATTCCTTGTGCCTGCTTGAAACACAAGCAGACGAAAAACTTTCTCCAGTGGTGAAAGTTAAAAAGACTTTATTTGAAAAAAAATTGGATAATAATTACTTATGGTTGAAACTACCATACTAATTGTTCTACATATAACAAAAAGTTTGCTGATAGCATCTTTACTCATATTCATAATCTAAAATGGCAGATGTTTGCACAAAAATATGTGCTATTTCTAATGAAGGTTATGTAGCCCAACAGAAGCTGAGTGGTGGTACAAAGCAGATGAATTGAACTGGATGGAGAAGGGCAGCCGTGGGGCCCCAGGCATGTCCAGCTCTGTGGCGGTGCATGTAAGGGCCCTAGGGGGCTCCCACTGCATTAGGCAGTAATAGGTGTGGGATGACCTAAACGATTTGTTGACTGGAACAATAAATCTGTTGTGTGTTTCTTGGCATGCTGAGGGGTGGATTACAAGTTGTCGCACAAAGGAATGCAAATTGCAAGCCAAACTCTCAGAGAGGCCTGTGGAGTAGCCAGCTATTTAGAGCATTTGTGCTGAGCTATGCTTTTCTCTCACTATTTTATGTTTCTCTATTAGTGCTAATAACTGTGAAGGGCCTGGGAGTAGCCACTGTATTCATCCCAAATCAATGGCTTTACCGCACCAGGCCTATAGACCCCTGCATTTGCATTCTATCGAGTGAGATGACCACAAGGACAATTGGTGTTAAGACTCTTTCAGCCGTCCAAAAAGAATAGAATACTAAGTGAAATTTTCTGGCTGTGTAGCTCATCTAAATTCCTCTTGGCAAGCTCCAGACTTTTACATAATTAAAATTGATTTACATTTGTTATATATATTGTGCAGGTCCATGCAAAAATAGTAACTAATAAAATAAAAACAATCCAAATTGATCCAAAGTATGCTATTTTCTAATGAAGTCATATTTGTTTGTGTTCAGTGTTTGAATCTTGTTGCACAGCTGCTGGTTACTGTGGGGTGTAGGTATCTCCTCCTAGTGACGGCTGAGTGAAATGCAAGCACATCCTCATAAATACAGTATGTAAGGCTATTTAATTCACGTTCATTTTTTCTTGATCATCTGTTTGTCTCTGAAATATTCAGTTTAATTAATACATCAAGTGACTGATTTCAATTCAAATTAAATGTCACTACTGACTAATGTTACATATGATCTTGATTTTCAGTGGCCTAAATACAACTTCTGTTCATTTAGTGATACAACCTAAATATTCGATTATCATCAAGTCAAAATTACTTCTAACAGTGTTTTATTTACCGTTGTAAATGGTGGATTGTAAGACTTATTACAGCACAAAGTTCTAACAGATGAGCCATGATGAGCTCCTGTACGTTTTATAATGAACCTCTGTGTTGCATAATATTATTGACCCTTATATATAGATAACCACCAACATTTTTAATGTCATTGTAACATTAACATTTTTTAGTACGTGTGAGAAGAAAATTAACCCATTGTCAGTTCCTAGTGTCGGAGGCCAGAAAAGAAGGCGGTCCAGTTAAACAAGACTGTTTCCACAAATCAGCATGATTGTGGCCCTGCGCTGAACAAAAGCATGAATATCCATTTCCTGACGAAAGGGTGAGTGCCCTCTCCATGCCCCCAGAAGCTACTGTACCTGTTGCCCTGGTAACGCCCTGGCAGAATGCAGATCAGGACAAATGCAATGGCTCTCCTTCACCCTTCACAATTGACCCTGATGACTAATACTTTTGTTCCTGGAGAGGGCAGGTGGGAGTTACAGTATCCACCCCAAAGTACCCCGTCCTATTGGGCACACATCCTTTTTAGTATTTAAACATTCTTTTTATTAATTTCCCGGTCAGAGTCTGAGAGGAGTCAGTAGCACCAGATGTAGCAGTGTAGGGAGAGGTCAATGTTATCTAAACAGACCCATTGGGCTATTTGCTTTAGCACCCTCCATCAGCCAGTGAGCCCTGAGGATTCAGCCCATCACTTCAATCAGCCATGACAGCATACAATGCATTCAGAATAGGCCAGTGCAGGGCAGGGCATGAAATCAGATCACAAGGAAGAGAATTTGAGGGGGACGATACAGGAAAAGGGGGCAGAGGACAAGATGTACCGCTTCAAGTGTCAACATCTATTTTATCAACCACTGTGTATGCCTGTATTGTTTGTTTGGAATGTGAAACAAACATGTCGTTGCTGCGAGCCGTTGGATGAAATTGTATCTACAGTAAGCAGAATATGGTCTTTCATACAGTGGGCCTCTTTGTGCATTTAGACACGTGAATGCATTTGTATGTTCAAGTGGATGTGTTTATTGTCCTGTGAGCAAAGAGAGGTAGTAATCTTATCACTGATCCGAGGCTAAGTACATGTGACAGTAGATATATACAAACTCCTGATTGATATCTTGATAGATTGCCAGATAATGGCTCCTAAAGCGATATGGACAATTGCTTCAATGTGTATGTTTTTCTGCCTTGCATGCTGACTCCTTGGCTTACGGCCAGCTTCTACAACTCATGGTCCAAAGCTGAGCGCTGTCCAGTCTAGGTTAGGCCCCTCACTCCCTGTCTGCGCCTCTGCCCTTTGACCACATTAACCACTGCAGGCAGACTCATCTGTGCGTCTTCTCTTATCACCAGAATCAAACATTAAAAGAGGGTGGGAGACACCTCCTCATAAAGTCAGAGAAATATTGGAGGGGTAGATAAAGCTGTCGAGAGACCATGAAGAACATAAAAACAGAGGGAGCAAAGTAGACAGATAGTATGAACGTACAAAATCAAAATCAGAAAAAGATTAGCAGAGAACACAAAGCTCCCATGCTGTCTCATCTCATACTTCTTGCCTCCACTTCTTGTCAGTTTGTCATTGAAAAGACCAGGGTGGAGTCTAGCACTGGGTAAACATCTATTTTATGAGGACTATTCTACAATTAGCCGTTACCTTGACTGTAGTGGTTTTAAGAGCGGCCTGGCCTTGGAGTTACCTGGATACACCTGGAAGAGAGTGATAAAAGCATCCAAGGGTGTTCAGAAGACAGCTCCTATCTGTGAGAGCACTAAAGTGTGTCCAAAAAGTCCCATATGTGAAGAGCAGCAGGACTGTCGGCGCCACCCTCAGTATTATCTTCAGAGCTCCTGTCCGCCCGCCGCTCTGTCTGAGCGACTGTTCTGATGAAGCCCGTTGCCTCAGTAATTTCATCAGCTACATATATTGCACAGCCACCCTTTCCTCTGTGCAAACATCTCATGTGCACACAGTTAAAGATTTTAGACGGGTCGTTTGCTGATAGTGATGGGTAGGAAAATATTTGATCTCCTGAGCATGGCCATTTAACATTCTCACCCTACGCTCTGACCTTAAAGAGTGTGCATGCATGTGGCAGTGTCCTTTTTGTGCACACTACACAGATGTTTGTTCACTCAGCTTTAGCTTCCATGAGCACATCGGCACCTGCATTTTTGATTCTCACACTCTCAAATAGACATAGAGCAGGACCATTTGACCTCCACCTTCTCCCTGACCTCCAGGTCCATCCCTCAGGACAAGGGTCAGAGGGAAAGGGCTGATCATGATCAAACATTGATGGTCAATCACACAGCCATTTCCTGCTAATCATGTTCCTCAAGGAGCTAAAGCTACTATCTACAGATAACCACTATTGAGCTGATGCTTATGCACCTTGTACTGTAGTATTATGTTTTTTCAAAATCTAAAATAGTTTCAATATTGCTATAGTATTCATTGGAGGCCATTTGAATATTGGACTTTCAGAATCATCAACATTGCCTTAATTATAAATTCACATGTTCATTGTAAAATCTGTTAGTGGGCCAATGCATTTGGAAAACAGTTCTGTCGACAGAATGGTGTTATTCTTTACTCTCAGCTCCAAGTTACTTCCATGAGTTGATAAATGGATAGGACGTGGACTTTGGCTACTACTTACACAATTATGTAATACCCAGTGGCTTCTACATTCATTATTATTTCATCTTGTTTCTTGCTGTCTGGGCCAAAGGCCATGGTCTTGCACTGAAGTATCTTTTGCAAATGTCTATGAGTAAGTAACCCAAAATGAACACTGAAGTAAGCAAGTAAGTAATCTTTATTATTTATTATATTATATAGCCCATTTTACAGACCTACTGTAGGTCTACCAAAGCGCTTTACAATTGTTTAGAGTTCAGATATTTTTCCATTCTCTCCACACACAGTGATGACAGAAGTGAGAAACCTTCATTGTACTGTATACAGAGATAATAACTTTCTCTGTATTACATATGTGATAGAATTGTCAGCTGGCAGAAGATCCTGCCTCTGCAGACATAGAATCAGGAAGCAGAGAATGAAGGGAAGTGTGTTGCTCAACAGTTTATGTTCCTCCTTTGGTTGCTGGATGTCACTTACTTGGCACACATACCACCTACACACTAACACACTCTCTCTCTCACACACACACATGCACACACACACACACACACACACATACACACACACACACACACACACATATACACACACACACACACACACACACACGTTTTTGTTACCTGGTGGGTCCCTTTGACAGGGCCGTTCAGAATGGGACCCATAGACATAATCTTTTTTTACCAAGACTTTAAGTAATACAAAACAGTCAATAGAAACCAAACAACTATTTTAAAGGAATTTTATTTTAGATTTTGTTTTCGAATTGCAGTGATTCTATTTTTGACATAGAATTTAATGCCACTCCATGTCCGATGTCTAAGGTCATCTGGTGAGGCATTAATGCAGGCCAGGCAGTGAGACTTCCCAGGGACCTTTCCAGTCTGTATGAAAGGTGTCATGGTCTTCTCCACAGCCTTCACCTCAGATGCAGACCATGGCTTTCTTACACGTTCTAGGGAGAGAAATAAAAATATATTAGCAATATACACTCCCAGGGTGAGGACCAAGCAGCCTGGCTGTAATCCCCCACCTGGTACACTTACCAGAAGGGGCACTGCCACTACCATGGGGTGCATCTGGATGAATGGTTGAAGGTTCTCCGCTTGAAGTTTCTTTTAGCCCGTCCGTTTGTGAGAGGATCTCTACTGCTCTCCCTGTCGCACAGAAAATAAAAATACAAGTGGCCTTTAGGGGAAAAAAATCATACATATTTTAATAATATCAAGAATTACCTTCAGGCTCAATTTGTATCTGGTCGAGGCTCTTTCCTTCGAATTCCGTCCTCTTCCCTGCTCCATGGCCATCAACACTTTGCTGATTTTGGCCAGCTCCAGTGTCCCCTCTGGTAGTCTGTAATATTGCCTGTGGATGCGAATGTCATGGCCGAGGAAGTTGGCAAGTATGTCCATCTCATTCTCTTTCATATTGAGAACTGTAGACATAGTAGCTATGTGCTTTCTAAGTTTGGTTGAGGATAGCATCTCTGGATGCACCGCACCACATTCTTTGGCTACCTGGCGTAGGGAGTCTGATCCCCTGATGTGGGTGTCTGCGCCCGGGCGGGAAAAGAAGTATGGGTTATGGTCAGAGATGGAACAGGCCCTTCTGTTCTCCACCAGCACCTCCATCGAAGCAATCATTTCAGGAGTCAAAAGAACCGGCACTTTCCGACTTCTTTTCCCTTTAATTTCAATGCGTTGAAAATGCTGACACAGCTTTTTCTCAAGTTGGGACAGTCCCAGAGCAATGTCAGAATGGATCCCAGTCTTACTTCTTAAGGTAAAGGCTGTCAGTGGCATCTTTGAAACCTCACCTTCCCTTCTTCGATTGAAAATGATGACCTCACAAAGAGTCAAAACTGCCAGTTTAGACCAATGCTTAGACGTTGGCTCACTTATTAGGGTTTGCACATATTCAGGTCGACATACCTCAATATGTGCATGCATGGCTCTAACGTCCTCAGTCAGAGGGAGCAGGTCCGGAGTGTTCCACTTGGCTTGCCGGAGGGTCTGTAGGGCAGCAGAAGAAACACAGACGTCCCACCTCTTCTCAAAAAGCAGCCGGCTTCGTTGGAGGTTTTTAATAAATAGTTCATCAACACAATGCTCCATTTTTGAGTCACATTCAAGAATATCTGCTAGCTTTCTGAGGCTATGGCCGAGTTTGAGGGCCAAGGATGGAGTCTTGTATTGATTTGTTTCCTCATCATATCCAGCCACAGACCTGACTGCATCAATCACATGGTTAAAGTTGGAAGGAATAAAGAAATCCTTAATTGTTTTCAGTTTCCCTGCGGTTTTTGCTTCGTTAATTAACCTACCGACTTCTCTCATTTTCTGCCTAATGTAATCATGCTTTGTCTTATCATGCCCGTGTTTTAAGTACAGGTGCTCTCCGAGTCTCAGAATCCCCTTTTCTGCTTTGACAACACCCGTGACCTCATCCTGATGCATTGCCGAAATTAAAGACCACAGCTTTTTGCTGATGCCCTCCGGTACAGGCTGGGCTAGGGAGCAGAGGGACTGGACCCTACTTCTACCTGGTTTAGCCTGGGCATCTTTCTGTGAAAGCCGGCACCTGGCCACATGCCTCCACAGCGACTTTCGCTTAAGCAATGCCCCACAGTCTATACAGTGCAAAAACTCACTGGATTTAACTGGGGAATTTGGCTGTTTAGCTGGGACTAAAGTTCCAATGCCGGCCTTTAAAACCTCAAAATTGTGCTCACGGTTTCCACTATTCCTGATCAAATCAAACTGAAGTTTACGTGCTTTAGATTTCACAGGTAGAGCCAATGCTCTGGCTACGTCACTTTCATTTCCATGTTTTCTAGTCAAATGACGGGACATTTTGTGGCAGGACATTGAACAGTAGAGGCAGAAGTGTCTCTTGCTGTATACTCGCCCCCCATTTTTCTTCTTTTGCAGCTGCATGATAACAATCTTATTTGCCTTTGGTTCGTCACTTTCCGAGTCTTGAAGAAAAGTGTTTTTGATTTTTCTTTTTCCATACTTTTTTACAGGTTTCTTCTTGACAGTTAAATCGTCAGAATCTGAGTCGACTTCATCAATTAGGGACTCTTGACTAAGCTGCACAAACAACAAATAATTTGTAATCATTCTATATAACAATTTGAAGTCATGACTTGTAGTCAGCACTTACCAGTGGTTTGTAAGCGTGCGCTTCAGTGTGCTCCTCCATGATTTCTTGCAGCCTAATGAACCACACACTTGCACCTTTTTCTAGCCTGACACCTGATTTCCTCTGTTGTGCTGCTCCATGATTGGCTCCAGCCTGCTGGACTGAAATTGCCCCAGTGTGCCCCTCCTTGATATCCCGCAACCCACCACCAGGGTTCCGGAAAGTAAACCTCCAGGGGTCCTTTCCATATTTTTACAGAGACTGCATAAGGACCGTTAGAAAAGCATTACCCATTGATTATTAAGCTTGGACCAGTGGGGTCCGGTGTTCGGGCCCCACCACGTAAAACCAGTCCCCATGACGTGAGTGGAATCTCAGGTTATGGAACCCACCAGGAGTTGAAAACAAGTGCACATACACACACACACACACACACACACACACACACACACACACACACACACACACACACACACACACACACACACACACACACACACACACACACACACACACACATAAAGTGCTGCATTATAACCATACCAACCACCTAATAAGCTTATCCCATACAATAGAAATAAGAACAGGATTAAAGCCATATGATTTATGAATATGTAATTTTATCTGTAAAACAGTTTTGCTGGTTTTGTCTTACCATACTGTGTGCTAATGTGTGTTACAGTAATGGTTCCATAATTTCATTTGTTGCCATCTTATTTTTCTGGCAACATTAAAAGAGGGGAATCTTTTTCAGGTGTAGACCCAGTAAGGATTCTTGTATGCAACATAACACAATTAAAGTTGGTCCTGCTTTCCAGAGAAAATGTATAAATTATTTCAGAAAATATAAAACTCTATTAGCAGCATTTGAGCAGTAGTATTAAACCTCAAACAGTTAAGTTTAAGTGCTACATGAAGTAAATAAACCCATACTGTGTTGAAATGTCACCACTGAGGGAAGAATAAAGGTTTATCTAATCTTATCTCATCTCTCATCTGACTGATGTGAACAGCGCTGCTTCATCAGTGGACCTTTCTTCCTCTTCCTGTTTGCAGGTCAAATGATGTTCATATTTCTTTGTATCTGGCAAACAAGGTAAAATCTGTGTTTGTAGAAAAAAGAATTAGGCACAGTGGGTGTCTTTGGATAAAGTCATATTTGGTTTTATGTCATTTCTCCTGTTTGGCTGGCAAGGGCTTTCATGTTTCTGTAATTACCATATTTCATTAGTGTGTGTAGTGTCACCGCTGCAGAATCAAAGCGGTTTGGCTCCTTTCGCTTGTGCGCGACCACTGCCCGGGAAGTACACACAACTATCTGTTTTTTCCCTCAAATAAATTCGCCTGTGCCTGTTTTTGAGTGCACTCTGTGCCTCAAGCTGCTGTCGATATCAAAGAGAACCCATTCCGCATGTGAAGTGCCCCTTGTGCAGAATAATAAAGCAGTGCATCCTGGCAAAAAACTGTGAAACACAACACTCCGGCCATGGCACACACAACAACACACCCTCACAAACACACAGCGTGCAGTGTGCACACTAAGAACATATTCACTACATCAGTACTTAAACTATATCTTGTGCTGAAAACATACTATAGCATTTACATCAGTGAGGAGAATAATATACCACATTGTAAAACCATATATGCATCAAGTATGTCTGACAATATTTTAAAAGTTATATTATTTTGGTTCGCAATATAGAGCACAGTGGTACAAGCATATAATGGCTATTCCACCTTTCCATGTTTTTCTTTCTTTTATTATTTAATTGTCTTCATACTGAATAGAATCCATCCAGTTTGATATTCTAGTAGCAGAAAGGCCAACAATTTGTGCTGTACATTTCAGTAGCTAATGTGGGATCTAAATAAAAACAAACACATTTAGCCTAACCGATCAAATCTACATGATGCTTGTGTTTTTCTCAGGATAATGAAGATATTGAGTTGAATCCAAATGTGAAATTGTAACCGGCTTTTCCTTGCAGAGCGTTTGGCCACTGACACAGAACACTTGCACCTGACCTGCTTTCATTCACTTCAAGGCCACAGGCTCAAAGCCACGCCGCGTTACCAGACAAAGGGACGAGAAAATAATGTCTCAACCAGCACAAACAAACACAAGCCTCCAGTTTAACGAAGCTCACTGAACTGCCTCACTATCAGCCGGATTATCTCAGTCTGCCCCGAGATCAGCGGTAACTTTTGTTTTTACAGAGCTTTATGGCTGTCCTTATAGCCAGACAGGAAATCAAAGCCTTCCTCACACATACAGGCAATTACAGACTAATCCATCTTCCTCAAACAATATGTTTTCTCCACTGAAGGCCACACCAGATTCAGACTTAAATAATTTACACAAACATGCAACATATTTCCTTAAAGCTAGAGTCCCTAAATTAAAATATCAAGAAAACATTCAACTGATCCATCAAACTAGTTCCTCGCACAGTTTCTATAGTTTTAATTTGTTTTGCCTCTGTCCAATCGTTTTATATCAGTTTATTTCGAACAAAAAAAAGGATAAAATAGGGAACTCTCTCTCAGCCGATCAGCTCTCAACCCAAAGAGTCAGCTTGAGTCAAAAAGTTTGCAAAAGATAACAGAATATTGTGGTTTGATTTTGACAACACTATTTCTGTTCTACATGTGTTATTTATGATGGGAAAACTCAGGTACCCCAGCTTTAAATAATACATAATAAATAATGTTCAGACTGGAGCTGCACATCATACGGAACATACTGATTTGAGAAAAGGAAAAATATCTACATCTTGAAAAAACACTTCTGCTGTTTACTTTTTTTTTCTCAGCTTGATCTCTAAAGGAGGTGTTTTCAGAGTCTTGCCTCGCACTGCAACATATTGTCAAACAAACAACAAAACATACAGACAATAGATGCAGCTGATTAAACAAGACAAAAGTGCCTGAGGTTCATCTCTGTTTGGATGCTGTGGACAAACCTGGACTGCGTGTTGTTGTGTGATGAGTTTTGTCACAATCGGAGGACACACACTTGAGATGCTGAAGGCTGTGGAGGCTGCGTCCGCACTGGGATCAATGCTCACCTTGGCTCCGGTCACTTTCACTCTATTGATCTCCAGCTGGGCGCTCTGCTGAAATGTTTCTGAGGCTATTGTACTCCTTACTCCGGCTGGATGATGAGCAGTGTGCGCTAATGCTACGGCCTTGGTGGAGTTTGTGTTATCTCTGCTTATGATATAGAAAGGAGATTTATTAGTGTACGGTGTTGCACATTGGGAATGGCGTGTTTATGGAAATAGAGATTGAAATGGTTGTTGTTTTTTTGTAGTTAAAACATAGATATAAGTGGAAGAAAATGGATGAATGGACATAGATTATGATTCATCTAAAATAAGCTTTGGAGGCTTAGTATCCATCAGTCCGAAGTCTGGCTTTGTTGGGTGTTGTGTTTTTCTTGTAGAATTATGTCCTAATCTGTCTTTTTCTAATGCAGTTATCTCTGTGTTTTAGAGTCTGTATTGTCCAGTTAAAAAAATATCAGAACTCGATTATGATGAATTGTTCTAGTCGTCTATCGATTATCCGACTAATTATTGCTGTCCTAATATTATTCCTAATTGTTCTAATAGTGGTTTTTATAAAAGACTCTCCCTTTCTCCCCCCTTTCCTTTGTGAGTTTGATTCAGTGCAGACTTTGTGGACAGCTCGGTCTTCACCTTGATCCAGGGGCCACAGAGGGAGAAGCTTTAGTGCAGGGGACACGGGGAAAGCAAAGGACCTGCCACATTATATGCTTTAACATGACTGGCAAATCCTGCACGGTTAAACAAACTTAACCTTCATTTGTGAAACGGTGAAAATCAAAGGGCAAAAAACGACTTGTGTAAGTAATTACCACCGGGGGAGCAACAGGGCGCACACGGCTGGGGAGGCGGCTGGGGACGGGCCCGTGTCAGGGACGCCGCGCTAACAGGTTGAATGGAAGGAAATGGGGAACAGTTAAGGTGAGGGGCGTTTTTAATGAGTTTGTTCAGAAATTGATTTTTCCACTGTAATCTTTTATTTATATGCAGCAGGCAGCACGTCCCTGGCTGAGCTAGGGTCAGGCCACGCAGCAGCCTGTCAAGTCCCCCCCTCCCTCAAACAACAGCCCCAAGCCCAGGGAAAATGGTATTGTAGCAAAGGCAAATATTGTCCTGTCCCGGCTTAAGGGGCAAAACATGTTTACTCGGAAAAAACTTGCTTTTCACTTTGTCCATTTAAAGTGAAGACTCAGATTACGTGCAGTTATATTTTATTCTAAGAGGAAATGTAAAATCCATTCATATATAGTATTTGCATAATGATATTACATAGGCTACCGTTTAGAAGCATATAATATTGATGATTTATTATGATTCAGTTCATTATTTCTCCGGTCATTAATCACCAAAAAGAATACAGAACAATTACATATACAAAAAAATACAATTTTAGAGACTGAAAATGATAGGCTTAAGCATTATCATTGTAGCTCCAAATATACATATATTAGTTATGCCTTTTTTAAATATTTCATCTATAATTCCGGTCTTCATTTTATCGCTTTTTAGGCCTTTATTTTTTAAATAGACTGTGTTCATAAACTGAATAAAAAACATTTAGTAAATACATATAGATATACTGGCGGCGGGAATAATTAATGGTACGTGATAACATTTAAAATAGGTTTAATCAAAGGCAAATAGCCATATGATGCAATAATAATAATATATTTTTTTAAAACATGGCAAAGAAACGTTTTTCACGCTGTTATCGGTCTATGTAAAATATAACTTTATAAATATAGTGGTGGTCCGGATTTAGGCCTGAACGCATATCGATACTGTCAAGCTCTCTGATGCGAGTTTGTTCAAGTTTGTCGATGAAAAAGTCTTGTAAGTCTAAACTTAACGGCATAATGATCTGCTCTCAAAGCTAGCTAAATAGATTACTATTTTTTTTTTATATTGATTTTCCTGGTTTTATTCACATATTTTACCCATATGTTTAGGGAGATAATTCTTGTCAATGTCATTCTGAATAATACGTACGGCCTTCACGAGAACGCGGTTTAGTTGCGTATGGGAAATTATGGTTAGGTTGTGGCGCCGTGTACTGGTCATAATCTGTACTGCAGCGCTGGTGCACAATAACTGCAGGAAACAACGCAACTCTTTGATTATTAGATTGTTTGGGTTTGTATGTCTTTATTATTCCCCTATTCTGGCCTGACGCTGGATCACGATAATCCTATCTCTAACCTCCTCACTTTCCTGTGTTTCTGTTTCTTACCAAAACACGACTTCTCTCTTGGTGTATGTGGTGGTCTTCAGCCCACTCATGAGACTTAATATATGCATATTCAAATGTATGCTCTGGGAAAAAATATCTTTAGCGCCCCTTATGAAATTACAATATTAAAAAAAAGTAAAATAGGATTATATATGGATACAGGCATTAATATTAACCAATTAGTAATATTGATTATGTATGCATTTTATGATGTAATTTTAATATATTAAGATCTAGGCATAGATTCGAGCAACTTTTCTTTTAAAAACCTTTAGTACTGGTTTTGTTTCACATGTCTTTGCATTCATATAATACATTCATTTAGAATCACAGCAGGCCCAGCTGTACTTACATATTTTACCACTAGGTGGCAGCTTCAGATAATCTTTCACAATAATCCAACACACAGGGTTTGTTTTCAATGTTTTATTTCAATTTGTGTATAAAGCACGAAAAATATATTCTTTCTGCAGGAACAATAAATATATACAATACTTCTTATTAACAAAAACACAATTTACAAATTAGGTTGACAACAGCCCAGTGTCCACAGTGCTATTGGCTGTTGCACTTTACACACACCATTATTATGATCGACGATTAATTAAATATTGTGGGCAGCTAGACTTCCTCTTCATTTTGCTATGTAAGTGGAATCCTATCATAATACTTCTGTGGAGACCAAATGCATCAACATTTGAAAACTCTAAAACACAGGATTGTTCAATTGCGTACATTCCTACGTGTCTGTCCATGGGATCTTTGTCTTCTGGTCAGCAGCTGAGCAGTTGATATGATAAGATCCAGGTCAGTAGACAGGACAGTGAGAGGGGACAGGGGACCAAGGCCTGCTGTCCAGAGTGTGCAGTGTCCCATGTGCGCTGTGGTGCTTCAGACTGGGCCTCTGCGTCCAGGAGCTGCTGCTGTCCCTGCTGCTGTTCCTGCTGCGTCAGAGGAGGCTCCACTGTGAGGTAGCCGTTAATAACTCTCACATTAGGAGGAGGGGTGGTGCTGCGAAAAGGAGATATTATTATTATCCCATTTTTATTTATTATTATTTATTTATTATTATTGTATTGTATTGTATTGTCATCAAAACAAGTCTAGTTGTGAGGGGTTGAGGCTGGTTCAATTCCACTGCCATAACAGCTGGTCAAAACTCAAATGAACAGATTTCTGAAGCTAAGCAAGATCAGACGTGGATAGCCCCTGTATGGAATACTAGGAAATTGAACAATGCAGTTTTAATAAAGATATGACTAACTTCAATGTAAATAAACCTGATATAAGAACTCAAAATGAGAGCATGACCAGTATTTACACTGCAATCCAATATGATGTGTGGCAATGTACCAGTGGCCTAAAATAATTAACTTATGACTCTGGAAAAGCATCAATTATTTCAGACATGTGCAATATAATAAAATGCAAATTCAATCCAATAAAAAATAGACATAGGCCAATATGAGTTGAAATAATGGTTTCCATAGGCCGATGTGTGAGTGAATGATTGGTGGTGGTCTTTCCTATATCGTTCTGGTCTTTCCTCCAGGGCAGCTGTGGCTACAGAAATAGCTTACCACTATTGAGCACAGCTCAGTTGGTAGAGCATTGGCCTTTGAGCCTGAAGGTTGGGGGTTCGAGCCCACCGTAAGACCTACTTCACGACTCCCACTGATGACTGCTGTCGTTGTGTCCTTGGGCAAGACACTTAACCCCACTTTGCCTGAAGCCCCCACTGAAAGATCTCAGCTCCTGTGGACTCACCACCTGCAGGAGGATCAGTGAGGGGCTGGTGCTCTGTGTACTGGGTGGCATCTCTGGCCACCCCCCCGACCCAGAAATGGATTAAGGGGAAGAAAATGGATGGATGGATGGATATTGAGCATTGATAATGTATCGTAAAGTCCTTCAGATAGCTTTAGAGCCAGCTCAAGTACATTAATATGAGTATTTATTATTGCAAATTCCAACATATTTGGAATTCGGAGTTACTTTATGTGTAGAAACAAAGACAGAAAGAGAAACTAAATTATCAAAGACTAGACTACATTTCTCTGGACAAGAATTTATTTTCTCTGGCATTTTATTTTTGCAGACCTGTTATTTAGGCTTGAGACCAAATAGAAGCAGTTTGACTTTCATAGTGAGAGCTTGGCGTGTTGTTTAGACAGACTTCTGTCGGCTTTTCGCCCGGGGGAGGACATCAACTGGTCAAAAAAAAGTCAAAACAAACTTCCAAGTCATCAAACGTTACAGTGCAAGATCAGAGGAAATCCCATTATAATGGACTACTGCAAGAGTATCAATGTCCAGCAATAGTGACACATCACAATCTTCTTTTTATTACTAGAGCAGGTGCAAAAGCCAAAACTTTGAGGGTTAGAGCTTTATACAGTTCCACAGCGAGTTAGGCTGCTGCAAGGCCTTCACTGCTCGCCTAAACATGATTACACACATATATATATATATATATATATATATATATATATATATATATATATATATATATATATATATATATATATATATATATTTATTTTTCTTATTATTTTTTTTCTATGTTTATTTTTCCACAAACTATTTCGGTTGCGCAGCTTTCAGCTTCAGGTCAACATTTGGGAGGTCTTGCGTCTAACAGAGTTTTTATCCAATCACTACTCAGGATCATGTGTTGCTATGGCCCAAAATCAGTGTCAAGTCTGTTTCCTGACTGGCCCTGCGCGGTGTCAGAGCATGCACACCTTTTGATTGGATACAGGATAGAGAGACGTGACAATGCAGACGTTCATGTGATAAACAGAAACAAACAAAAATGCCAAAATGTATAGCACAACAACTTCTCTTAATTTTTCAACACTCTACGGCTGAATGCCATTCTCAAGAAAAACGGAGACAGAGGGAAGAGCCAGGATTTTGCCCCGACCAAAGGATACACAGCTGTGGCAGAGCTGAGGCTAAAAGCCGATGGAACAGTTTGTGAATAAGCAAACCTGCGGAGCTAGGCTAATGCAGAAGACACGTAGCCACATCCTGCCCATGGATCTATTATAATAACGGTCCTGCCTCACCACCGGTAAGAAACTAGAACCTTAAAACTCACACGCAATACTTAAAATGTAGTTGGACTTTCCTACATTAATGCTCAAAACTGTGTCCTGAATGTTCTCAGATGCTGTCAGAGAGAGAGAAAGTCACGCATTGTGCACAAGTGCGTCAGGTCTGTGTGTTTACCCAGTGATGAGTGAAAAACTTCTGGTTTTTGGTCAGGGTGAAATGCAATCTTTACCTGTCCCCCATTCGAACCCACAGGTCGCTAAAGAGACGGGGCCTGACATGGCCGCGATGAGCTTTACGTGGCCGTTTGTGGCGTCCAAACTCTTCCAGTTGGCTCAGACTGTCGGGCATCAGCATGTGGGGAAGCTGCTCACTCTCTCCCAGAAACCTTTCCAGCTCCTCCAACTCGGTGTCCACTGTGGGGCTGCTCATCCATCTTGTAAGGGGGACTGTACTGGTGTCTGGACTCTCTAGCCTGGATCCTCCTGCCTCCTCTCTGGGAATGTCCCTGTAAAAAAAAAAATCCATTGCAAATTTGTTATTTGTACCATATTATTTAGTAATAGTAATTAAATTAGTAGTGTTTCAGACCTATGCACCTAGAATCTGGAACAGTCTTCCCGACGGTGTGAGACAGGCTGCTACCCTAGCTATATTCAAGTCCAGGCTGAAAACAGTTTTTATTTCAGCCATGCCTTCAACAGATGGCATGGCTGTTGAAGGCATGCCATCTGATGATGGCATGCATAATGAAATGCATAATGGCATGCATAATGAAATGATGATCCGTTGAGGCAACGGATCATCATTTCATTATTGATATATACATATATATATTTATTTCAAATAAATTGTCCCTATGATCTTTTTTTTTTTTTTTATTGATTTTTAATGTTGCCAATGTGAGCACTTTGGGTTGCATTCTGTATGAACTGTGCCATATAAATAAAAGTTGATTGATTGATGCACTACAAAAAATAACACTGAGCAAATAAGATAAGATTATAAAACTTTATGGATTTCACAATGGAGAAAATGACATGTCACATTTGAAATGTGCAAACAACAGGAAATGTGCAAACCTGTTAAAAAGTGAAAAGATAGAGATGTCTTTCGTGCAATAAAGGTTTTTTATGTGCAATTAAAATTAAAAAGCTACTATATCAGTCAGTGGATGCGGTGGGTTGATTTAATAAAGAGCACAGGGTCATAGATAATCATATTATAGAGAACAGGATCATGTTATGTCCTCTTTAATGCCATACTTAGGACGATGTGAGTCAAAGCACTATCATCTTTATGAAAACCAGAGTTACATAGCGCACCTTTAATTATTCAATTGGTTTCTGAGACAATTGATTTGATTTATTCTTAGACATAAACCTTAATTATGAAACCATTGGTCTCGTTACACAAGCTTTTCAAACAAATACAATATCAGACGCAGCTCTCAGCGAATGATATTGTTTGGGGTTTCTGACCACTCGATTGCTTGCCATTCACAAATGTACTTCAATCAAGGTCACGAACACCACAAAGGGAGCTTATGCCAATAAACAGTGGGGAGAGTGGCAGAAAGACCCGGCAGGCAGCATTAGGGGAAGTTGTAACACTTAAGGCTTCACGGCTCTGTCAAAACTGACATGTGTCCAGCGCAGACCACCCACATGCACCGGCTCCTCACGTACTGACTCGTGCACTTCTTTATTACACACATTACTCATACTTTTTCATGATCCTCCTGCTCTGTACTGTAAATGTAACATATGGCTGCACTTCAAGGTGAGATTTCAAAGAGGTCCAACAGCACTAAGCGTTCTGGAAAGGTGAACCTAGATGGAAAAACCTCACATAAAAAAAGATTATGTAAATAAGAAGTGTTTTATTTAGCCTTTTACTCAGTGCTGTTCAAAGTAGGGGGTGCCTTTGTTTGGAGGGTACAGTAATATAATTATCATATATATTTCACATATATATTCAGACAGTGAAAAACAATAAATGTGTCCCGTAGCCTAATGCCTAGTTGACTTGCCAGAATACTCCCTGTCTATTCTAGATGGAGAAATGACTGCACTTTGTTCGTACTCATAATGAGTGTGTGTGGCTTGCCAGGCTAATAAAATTTCTCATTGAATGTTATTATTGGGTTCTTCTCAACTCACTACCCAGTGATTTGGGTAGCGAGAATTTAAGAGTATATTTATCAATCCATTTTCTAAACTACAGTTGCAAAGTGCAAACGCATGTGTAATTTTAGAGGTTTAGTTCCATAAGATATATCAGTTTAAGGAGTGATAATCACTTTTGCAAACCCTTGATAAATATCCCCCTCAGCGTCTATCATACTCTACATGCATGTAGGATTACTTATGCAAGCTTTGTCCTATGCATCTGGAAGCTATAAGTGCTTTCACAGAGCCAGGCTTTTGGTTTTATTATATGCACATATTGAGCATAATGACATAATAACTAAATGTTCACATGCATGTCAAAAAACCACAGTGTTCACACAGGCTTGAGACTGGTTAAGCTGAAAACACATTTTTTTGTCAGTTATTTTAGGTAGATAAACTGAATTACATTGTACATTTGCAGAATAAGTTTCTAAATTGGACCTGCTTGTGGTAGGTCTTTATGGGTTTTATGTCAACATTTCACATGACGTGGAGATGGTTAGAATGGTCATTAATCTTTGTGTAGACATAACACTGATGGTCCTATAACAGCACTTTCAGCCCCAAAGCCTCTGTTCTGTCCAGAAGGCTTTGCCTGGTCCGTGTGATGATAGCTTCTGTGGTCAAGCAGTTCTTCTCAGCTCCAGCCATCACTCATAAAATCACCCATAAGACCTTATTTCCATCTGGTGTGAGGAAGTCCAATGGTCTCTATAAACACCTACCATTTAGCCATATCCTGTCACTAGGCATCAGCCAAGTCCAAACTACATAGTCAAAACTGTTTATGTGAGTGACCACAGTGTGTCAGTGCACTTGCTGAGATTTTAAATAATCATTGGAGTGAATGGAACAAACATGTCCATGTATCTAAACTAGTTTTTTACAATTACAATTACTAAAGATGGAGTACCTCACTTTTATTGATTCAAGAAGGCATTTTGTCTGAACTGTTGATGTGTCCTTAGGCAAGACACTTCACCCACATTGCCTAGATTAGAATGAGTCTGGTGTGTGTGTGTGAATGGTTGGTGGTGGTCGGAGGGGCCGATGGCACAGACTGGTTGCCTTACTTCTGTCAGTGTGTCCCAGGGCAGCTGTGGCTACAGTAGTAGTTTATCACCACCGTGCATGGAGTGCAAGAATAACGACATGTGAAGCATCTTTGAGTGTCCAAAAAAGCACTATATAAAACTGATGCATTATTATTAATATGATGTCATTGTACCACTGTGACATCACGCTCAGAGCGGTTTTCTGAGTTTTAGAACAAAAGTATTGCCCTTAAATCCGTTTTGGTAATTTCTGAAGGTGAATCACACATGGCTGTGTTTGTAGCTGGTATTTTTGTGTGTGTGTGCCTATGTGCATGCATGTGTGTGTACCTGTATGTGCCTGTACGTATGTGTGCGAGTGTGTGTCTGTGTCTGTGTGCATGAGAATGGGCAGAACCTCCGCTGGCAGCTTTCCTTTGGCAGAGACTGAAGCAAACATAAAAAAGAAGGGAGTTGATGAGGTATCAAAGGATTCCTGCATAGCTGAAGTTTATTTGTTACAGGGTACAAGGTGAAAAGCATATATCTACATTACACAAATCTGATGAAGCAAAAAGGCCTTGCTCGTGTAATTCAGATGTTGACTGGTTGCTGGCTTGGTTTTATCTGTCTGTTCCAGGAGCTCTTTGATTTAATATACATTCACATAGATCTCAATGTCAGCCAAGGACTAAAAGAGCGCAGATATGCAGTTACAGACCATTCAACAAACATTTTATTGGGACAACGCTGCACTCGAACAATGCTCTGGATTTTCTCCCATTTATCATTGTGTCAAGGAAATCAACTTGTGCGGTACGGTTTCACAGCATTCAAAGAGCACAGCGTTTTTCAGATTTCCATATTATGTCTGTGTCATGTGCTACTTACTCGCGCTCCGGTTCATGGTGGTCTGATGGAGTGTGGATGATCTCATACCCTTCCTGTCTGAGGATGTCCAGCACACTGTGGTTCCCCAAGAAGTGTCCTTAGAAGAAAGAAAGAGGAAAGATGAAGCGTCACACGAAGATCACGTGTCAAATCAATCTGTTCGTTGTTAGTTGGTGAAAACCTTGATATGTTGCACTATTATGGGAGAGCGTGTGTGTAGGATGAATAAGAATGCAGGTGATGATTCATGCTGTAACTTAAATGAAAGGACATATATTCTCCATCCTTGAACATAAATCAGAAAATACTATATACAATTTTGAAAGTTTGTTTCTTCAACATGTCCAACACCAGTTCCTTTCTTTACAACTCTAAAAGATATTTTTTTTTCCTGATTTATTCCTGAGAAGTGAAAGACGTTTCCAGACAGGTTGGACCACTGTGTTCCCAGCATTTGGGCCTCAATGGCTCAGTGTTACAAATTGGGGATGAAGATGTGCACCTGGAAGTTAGAGCTCACAAAACACCACTCGTAAAGTGCCGACGTATGCAAGGAGACATTCCTTTAAAAAAAATCTTGGATCCACAATCTAATCATTTGTTCCTCTTCCCATTGCAAAGTGGTAAAGAGTTGTAACAGACAAACAAACAAACCCTGGTGAACACATAACGATTGGGTGAAAGTTTATTAGAAAATCCTTCCCAGCTGGAAGCATCTCTTTTTTGCCTTTTTGTGGGATTGAAGCCATGAATTGCAATGGCTCCAACCGGTGTGACAAGACATAAAAACAAGCTGTAAGGGAAATTAGGATAAAACAAAGCAGGTTATGCAGGTACACAAATGTTCAAAATGTTTTAATTACATGAATCCAATTCAACTGGCAGCATTTGGGTATTTGCATATTTCCGTATCGTAGATAATCCTAATCTACTTGAGGATGTGGCATTACACTCACCTCCTTCTCTCCCTTCACCTTGTCTTCAATTCTCACAAACATCAAACATTTCTACTCCCACTGTGTCGATGAAAGGTTTTGTTAGATTTCTCCTTTCAGCCGATAATCCAGCGTGTCACTCAACTCAGCAATAACCTGTAATGCACCCTCACGTCACCCTGTGGCTCACAAGAATTCACTTTTTGGACGGCAGGAATTCAAACACCTCAGTCCACTGCTGCAGCTTATTAACAACACGTTGACAATGTTGCAGGCTCCCTGCTTTGCTCCTCTTGCACCTTGCCAATTTTGTCATTAAAATGTTCCTGATCATTCCTGAAAGTCAAAAGAAAAAGGCATGCGGTGCTCCTTTCTTGGCAAAAGGTTCAAAGAAAGCTCATGGGGCAAGGCCTCAGAGTGAATGTGGACTTCTGTAACATCACAGTCAGATCAAAAGGATTACAAAAGGGTCACATGCAAGAGCCTGTCATTTCATAGGATTATGTCATATCGATATTCATTATATTGATTTTTCTTTTGAATACTGCAGCGCTATGACACCAAAAAGAGTAGGTCACCAGCTCCCCTAGACCGCCACAAAATATTGTAAATATGACCATTACACATTTATTTTCTGGACATTATTTTATGTTTTTCACTGAAACCTATACCAGGAACTGGAATGGAGCTCTGTGTAATCACATATGCATTTTTAATATAATCAGGATAAAACCCCACTTTTTCAAGAGTGACAAGAATTATCTTGCTGAGCACATCCCAAAATTCTGCAATTTTATAAATCATTGATTAATACAACATAATTAATGGAGTCTAGAATATATAGTTCGGGATAATTTTAGAATCTTTCACATTTTGCAGCTCACTATTGGTTAATGGGATGTGATATTTCTAAGCAAAATGGGTCTTAACCTGTTTTTACAGTAATAGAGAGAGACCAAGTTGCACATAAACAGTTCCAATGACAAGGTTTTGCATGTGAACAGGCCTCATATACTGTATTTTGTCTGTCTCTACCCAGATGCTTTCCACTGACCCACCTGCTTCAAATTGGCCATTCTTTAAATACTCATTCATCTCTCAAGCACAGTATTCAGTGTCCAGTAAACATGCACCCACTTTTTTACTACAGAGGAAACCAGTCAGAGCGCTGTTTGCCACTACTATTTACACTAAATGCAAGACCACACACAAACATATGGAACCTCAGGGTGAAAATTACTACTTGTAATTAAGTCAATAAAACAAAAGGTCAAATTCAGTAGAAGACATTTCAACGAGGCTGGTGCATGGGCTGTAGTTAGTCGGAATTCCCAGCACAGAGAACTATTGGATCAGTATTGAATTATAGATATTTTTTGAGCCGCAATAATGATAAAGTCTGTATTTACATTTTAAACCATAAACAATACACCACACAGAAAAGTGCCCTATACTTTAGCAGCACAATCATCAGTGTGAAATGTGTACAATTCAACAAGTGAAAGATGAATACTGGAAAACCTGTCTCTCCTAGATTAATCTTTCCATCAACAAACTGTTTCTCTGCATATTACTTATTATGGGCTACAAAATGCCTATGCTACTTAGGGCAAATACCAATTTATTATTTCGTGCGTGCGCTGCCAAGAGATTTGTGGTCAGCGCTGTGACAGTTGACAATGTAACTTGTGGTTTAAAAGTATGTTCAGTTTCACATACTGACCAACCCCACAGCGCACGCCTGCCAGCAATTCATCATCACTCTAATGTGGTCGTTATGGGATGTGTTTGTCTGCTTTAAGTTCAGTTTCATAGTGAAGAAAGAGGTGTACGGCCCTCTGTTAAGTCAGTGATTCTCAACCAGGGGTACGAGGACACTGATCTCAGAAATAAGAAGGAAACGCTGTGTAAAATGTTTTGACAGTATTAGCTGGGTCTCATGTGATCATGCAAAAGTGTCCAGAAAGCTTTAAAATTGTAGGTCATCATGTACATTAACATTAGCCACTAAAATTCCATACATTTTCATTCACTTTATCCATTGCTGGGTCGCGGGGGCAGTAGTCTGAGCAGAAACGCCCAGACTTCCCTAACTACACACATTTCCTCCAGCGCAAACACCGGAATCCTGAGGTGTTCCTAGACCAGCTGACAGTCCTGGATCTTGCGTAGGAGCAGTAGTTCTACTCCAAACTCCTTCTGTATGACTGAGCGTCCCACATCTATCTAAGGATGGGAAAGTAGACCAACCAGTAAATCAAGAACTTTAACTGAAGACGCTGCTCCCTCTTCACTCACAACAGTCCAATACAGCAACCACATAACTGCACAAGCTGCTCTGATCCAATCTAAATGTCCTTCCCTCACTCAGATATTTTAACTCCTCCACCTGAGGAAAAACCTCTCACACCTGTAGAGGGCAAAGCACCTCTTTCCAGTGGAAAAAAAATGATTTCATACGCTTTTATATTTACACCCGCAGTTTAACACTTGAATTGATAAATGGGGCCATATTGGTAGTATTAGTATTAGTAACAATAATTATTGATCTCTTTCTAAAAATGTGCAAAATGCTTAAGAAAAGTGCAACTCTCTCTTGATGATTCAAAGAATTCACAAGACTAAAAACATTTTGAATTACTGTGTTAAGTCCATTTTGGATTCAAATATCCAATGTTTACAGAAACTATACTTATGCCTCCCACTTCATCTCTTTATAGACTAAACTGCTTTAGCTTAAGCTATACCTATCCTCATTTGTTTGTCTAACTTGCTAAATTGCAAGTGTTGTGAGTCTTTTGTGCCACACACAGGTTGTATTTTTAGAAAATGAAGAAAAAAATTATTTATCACTAAACGTAGAACTGCAGACATAACATTTTGGTGAGTAGTACGAAAATACCCAATCCTTATCAGTTATCAGGGCCACCTATTTGGACTTAACACTGGAGATGCAAAGAGACAGTAATGAGAGTGCACTGAGGATGCATGCTGGGCTCTGTTGGTAGATTATGGCGCAAACAAATACAAGCTGTTGCCTTCCAGCCACTACAACACATGAGGTAAACAGAGGAGCACACGTTCAATCTTCAATTCCATAAGAAATGCATTCACTTTGCAAATGATGTGCAAGGAGAATTACTGCAGACATAAACTAGTGTGTTATAAAAATCTTATAGGAAAGCAATCTGAATTAACATCAAATAGTTATATTTAAGAGAAAAATTATTAACTAACTGTATTCAAATACAGCACATATAATCTGTTGGTGATATCTGTGTCTAATAACAATGTGTACAGGTCAAAGCAGATTATAACACATATCAGTGATAATTCAGAGATGTATCATCGTAAGGAAGCGCAAAGAGAAGCCTTGAGTCACACATACACACTGTATCAATACTGACTTAATCTAGAGTAGACATTTGTTTGTTTACTCAGGTCTATTAATGTCCAGTAATTTCCTAATTTGGGGCAGGCTGTCTCTGACGGCTGCCGGGTGGTGTCGGTGACGTGGTTCTGTTATTCATTGTATATGTGCACATTTACTAATGAATGAATTCACACTTATGATTGCATTACAGCTATAGGTTGTTTTCCTTGTTTTTGCTCTCGGGCCTGTGCAGAAATTCCACATCACTAGTTTAAATGATTGTACAGAATGCTGCGGCAAGACTAATTACTAAATCATCCAAATACTGTCACATCACCCCTGCCCTTGCCACCCGACACTGGCTACCTGCGTACAGGATTAACTTTGTCCTGACTTATAGAGCCCCTCACGGCCAGGCTCCGAGTTGACCATGAAGCCTTTTTATGTATTTTATTAGTGTGGTTTTTTAACTTATGAGGAACCTTGTGGGCCAATCTCTGTGAGGGGAACGTTATAAATAAAGGTTTCTTATTTACTGACTTACATTATTTATATTAAAATTCTGTTAAAGAAGTTGGGAGCAGGCTTGAATTCTGACCTCATCGAATTCATGGAGTCTCGCAAAAGTACTCTTTCACTGTTGCTGCCATTTGAAGTCCTTACCTTTAGTGAAGCGGGTCATTTATTTGTTCAAGCTTGGTTCTGGCAACAAGCCGAAACTGGCAAGTGATCAGAGCAGCAAGAAGCGATTATAGATGATGAAATGCTGACAAAAAAGAAACATTATTG